GAAGGCGGGGGCGTGGCGCAGGAAGGGGCCGGGCCGCAGGAGCCGCAGCAGCGCCGCGAGGCCGCCGGGGGGCTCGGGGGGCTCCGGAGGGGCGCGGGGCGGGCGGAGGAGGGCGGCGGCGGCCACGAGGTGCAGGGAGACGGCGGCCAGCAGGAGCAGGGCGCCGCGCCAGCCGTAGGTGTCCAGGGCCAGCGGGACCAGCGGGGCCAGCGCCAGCCCCGAGACGGCGGCGCCGGAGACGGTGAGGCCGGTGGCCAAGGCGCGGCGCCGGGGGAACCAGCGGGAAACGGCGCCCAGCGCCGGCGTGAAGGCCAGCGACCAGCCCAGGCCTGCGGGGAGACGGGTTCTGGGTCAGGCTGTGGGGTCACAGGAGGGGTGGGAGGGTTCTAGGTCATTCTATGGGGTCACGGGAGGGGTGGGAGGGTTCTGGGTCATTCTATGGGGTCACGGGAGGAGTGGCAGGGTTCTGGGTCATTCTATGGAGCCACACAAAGATTTAAGGGTTCTAGGTCATGCTATGGGGTGGGAGATGTGAAGCATTGGGTTCTAGGTCATTCTATGGGGTTACACGCAGTTTGGGAGGATTCTAGGTAATACTACAGATTTACGTGAGGTTTGGGAGGGTTCTGGGCCATTCTATGGGGTCACATGAGGTTTGGGACAGTTCTAGGTCATTCTCTGGGGGTCATGTGAGGTTTGGGAAGGTTGTAGGCCATGCTATGGTGTGGGAAATGTGACTAATTGGGTTCTAGGTCACGCTGTATGGTTACACGATGATTTAAGGGTTCTAGGTCATTCCATGGGGGTTTGGGAGGGTTCTGGGTCATCCTATGGGGTCACACAAGGATTTAAGTGCTCCAGGTCATTCCATGGGGCTGGGAGATGTGAGGGTTTGGCTTCTAGGTCATTCCATGGCGTTACACCTGCATTTATGGGTTCTAGGTCATTCCATGGGGTGGGGGACATGAGAGTTTGGGTTCTGGGTGATCCTATGAAGTGTGTGGGGTTCTAGGTCACCCTGTGGGGTTACAGAAGGGTTTCTGGGTTCTAGACCATTCTACTGAGTGCAGGGCTCACAAGGGTTTGGGTTCTAGGTCACCCTGTGGGGTTACAGAAGGGTTTCTGGGTTCTAGACCATTCTACTGAGTGCAGGGCCCACAAGGGTTTGGGTTCTAGGTCACCTTATGGGGTGGGGGAGGACAGAGGGGGGACAGGGTCAGGGAGGGGACACAGGGGGGACAGGGACAGTGAGGGGACACCTGGCAATGGGGGTCACAGGAGAGCGCCCGATGGGAACAGGCGCCGGGCCGCCACCGTGAGGGGGGACGGGGACACCGGGGGGACACCGGGACGATGAGGGGACACCGGGACGATGAGGGGACACTGGGACAGTGAAGGGACCGACGGGACAATGAGGGGACACAGGGACACCGGGGGGACACGGGAATAAGAAGGGGACAATGGGGACAACGGGACAGTGAGGGGACACCGTGGGGACAGCGGAGCTGACGGATTTAGGGGTCACAGGGGTCACAGGGGGTCACAGGGGTCACAGGGGTCACAAAGAGGTCACGGGGTCACACAGGGGTCAGGGGTGACCCAGGAGCATTGAGGGGGGGGGTCCCGGGGGGGTCCCCAAAATGACGCAGCCTGGAAATGAAAAGGACCCGGGGTCACGGAGGGGTCACGGGGGGTCAGGGACCCAAAATT